GTGCCTTCTCTGTACTTGACTGTTGTAACAATTAGAGCTCAGAGAAATGAGATAAAGTACCCAGTGTCAGCAGCTAAGAAGTTACATCAGTTTCCAAATCAGGGTGTCTGGGTCCAAGTTTACCTGCTGGTGTCTGTTAAATTGTACTTCATTTTCGAAGTCACCTGTCCAAGGGCTCACCAACCATAATTTTTTTTTCTGTGATTTTTTTTTTTTTTTGACAGGCAGAGTGGACAGTGAGAGACAGAGAGAAAGGTCTTCCTTTTCCGTTGGTTCACCCCACAGTTGCTGCTGTGGCCCGTGCACTGCGGCCGGTGCACCACCGCGCTGATCTGAAGCCAGAAGCCAGGTGCTTCTCCTGGTCTCCCATGCGGGTGCAGGGCCCAAACACTTGGGCCATCCTCCACTGCACTTCCGGGCCGCAGCAGAGAGCTGGACTGGAAGAGGAGCAACCGGGACAGAATCTGGCGCCCCAACCGGGACTAGAACCCAGGGTGCCTGCTCCGCAGGGGGAAGATTAGCCTACTGAGCTGCGTTATTACAACTCAGTTATTTTGGGTTGAGCAGCAGAAATGTTTTCTTCCTAAGGAGAAGATAGTCTTGCTTAGTTATGTGGAGTATGTGGAGCCAGTTACTGGAAGGTGCACTGTGTTGTAGGGACGGCCTTTGGTGCTTCTGCATCTTGGCCACTTGTTTGCCAGGCGGCATTCTCAAGAGCTCCCCACTCCCCTATGTGACATTACTTAGGCCCTGAAGCAACTTGTAACTAGGATTTTATGACAAAAGTATTCTTTTTCTTGAGAACACCACTAGATGGCAGCAGACCTTCATGGAACAGAATAGGTCCATCCATACCCGCATATCATACATAGTTCCTTCAAAAAACTATTCATTGTGAAAAAAATTCTAACATGAAAAGTTTTTTAATTTTCATGTAGCACGTATTTTTTTTCTTGAATTGGGTTTAGGCTAATTAAAATGGAATCTGACTATCCTATAAACTGGATGATGAAACGGACCATATATACTGGGCTTGAGAGAAGCTAGCAGAATTGTCATTTTTTTTCCAGATCATCATGCTCTCTCTACCTCTACCTCTCTGCCTCTACTTCTACCTCTAACTCCAGCTCTAAGATTATTTTTCTCAAGTATTTTTAACATAATAAAGCTGTGGCAAAAGACCCTGTGAGCCACTTTCCTACTATGCTTATCTTCCACAAGCAAAAGAATTTAGGAACTAGGCAGATTTTCAAGTAAAGAGACAAAGTGGTGACAATACAGCAATTGCAAAAAAATGTTTATATCCAATACAGTGGAAAGGTAACTCATTCTGTTTCCAAGTTACTGTGAGTGGCAGGTGAAAATAACCTACTGAAGACGGCAGCTACGGGATATAATCTTTTTGAAACTCACAGAAGTTTGACTCGGTGTATGTGTATGTTCGGTGGAAATTTTGTAATATTGTTAAATATTTTCTTAGATTGATTTAGTGAAGTGATGCATACTGAGCACACTCCAGTGACATCTGAGTTAACTTTGTGAATACAAAGTTAGAGTAAGTCTTCATAATACAAGGCAGGGATCAGCCAACTTTTTCTGTAAAGGGCCAGGTAGTGAATATTTTGGCTTTGCAGACCACATATGGTCTTTTGAATATTCTTTGTTTTGTTTTGCTTTGCTTTTTTTTTGTTGTTGTTAGCCTTTAAAAAAATACATTAGCCATTCTCAGCTTGAAAACCACATGAAGCCAGGTTGCAGGCTGCTGCAGACCGTTTGCTCTCCCCATTACAGGAGGTTAGTACAGTAGTATGTAAAGTGCTGTCTCTCAGTCTTGCCAGTTCATAAAGCCTAAAGAAATGGCAGCATTGGTTTCCTGATCAGTTTCTGTGGAGCAGAAGAACCCTCCTAACCCACCGTGGGCTGACACTGGGGGGTCTGCTGGAAACACCAGAGCATCTCCACCCAGCTTCGTCAAACTCCTTCTCCTGGTTTGTCCTTTGTTTGCTTTGTCAACTAACACACACACACACCCAGATTATGAAATCAGTATTTTAAAATAAACTTATCTCTTTTTTGAAGATTTACTTATTTATTTGAAAGGCAGAGTTAGAGAGAGAGAGAGACAGACAGACAATGAGAGTGAGGTCATCCATCCACTGATTCACTCCCCAAGTGACCACAACGGCCAAGCCAAAGCCAGGAGCCAGTAACTCCATTCAGGTCTCCCACACGAGTGGCAGGGACCCAAGCACTTGGGTCATCTTCACAGCTTTCTCAGGCACATTAGCAGGGAGCTGGATTGGAACTAGAGCATCCAGGCCTTGAACCGGCACCCACATGGGATGCCAGTGCTGTAGGCAGGGGCTTAACCCTCAGTTGCCATAGTACCAGCTCTTGAAATTATCTTTCAACAAGTCTTTTAGTTTGTTTTTATAGCACACTGAAAAATACCATTTTGAAAAACAAGAAATCAATGTCTTAACCCCAGCTGTTCCATAGTTACAGTTCCTCGGATGGATCAGTTATTCTTTGTGATTGTCAGCCTTTTTGTTTGTAAAATAGGATTGGACTGATGCCAACCCTATTGTAGCCTATATTATTTTTTCTAAAGTTAGTAATTTCAAGTTTTTGTTAGCATAGGCCATTTATCACCTGATCAGATGATGCCTTCAATTGTTCTGCAAGTGTAGGCCAGTGGTTAGTTTTCCTTGTGGCATTTATTAAATAATCTGATTAGTTCTTCACTTAATGTGACTTTTTTAAAGACTTTTTTAAAGACTTATTTATTTATTTGAAAGAGTTACAGAGAGAAAGGGAGAGAGAGAGAGAGAGAAAGAGAGAGAGAGAGAATCTTCCATCCACTGATTCACTCCTCAGGTGGCTGTAACAGCCAAGCCAAAGCCAGGAACCAGGAGCTTCTTCTGGGTCTCATAGGTGGCAGGGGCCCAAGCACATGGGCCATCTTCTGCTGCTTTTCCCAGGCCATTAGCAGGGAGCTGGATGAGAAGTGGAGAAGCAAGGACATGAACCAGTGCCCGTATGGGATGCCGGCATCGCAAGTGGTAGCTTAACCCATTGCACCACAATGCTGGCCCCTGTATCTTTCTTATAAAGCAGAAGCCATGAGCACTGAGATAAATACCTACCTCTATTCTACAGAAGCCCATAGCACAGCATTTTATTATCAACATACTTTTTGAAGGTAGGGGGGCAAAACTTTAATAAAGTCCTTAGAACACAGCAGTCCAATAAAATATGTTGAGGTTGAGAGGCAAGCAGCCATAAACTCAAAAGAGCAAACAAAATTTCTCCATCCTATGAAAAGAGAATGGACACCAACAACAGTTAAAAGAAATTTCTTTGAAACAAGCTGAATGACAGCAGTTGCTGTTGGCTGTGTGACTCCTCTCCAGGATTTGCACTCTTCACTTTGATGTGGAAGCACTGCTTATTATATCATCCTCAGTGAACAAAAGCTAGCCTGTATTTTGGAATATTTTATCATTCCCTTGATCCCATGAATAAATAATGACTCTAAAAAACTGCTTTTTTTAAATAAAAAGAATGAATGAATACGAGTGTTTTCTTTTTTAAAAAATTATTTTATTTATTTGAAAGAGTTACAGAGAGGGGTAGATCCAGAGAGAGAAAGAGAGAGAGAGACAGAGATAGAGAAAGGTCCTCCATCCACTGGTTCACTCCCCAAATGACCACAATGGCCAGAGCCGAGTTGATCCAAAGCCAGGAGCCAGAAGCTTCTTTGGGCTCTCCCACACCAGGTGCAGGGGCCCAAGAACTTGGGCCATCTTCTGCCTCTTTCCCAGGCCACAGCAGAGAGCTAGATCGGAAGTAGAGCATCCAGAACTAGAACTGGCGCCCATATGGGATGCCAGCACTGCAGGCTGAGGCTTTAAACCACTGCGCCACAGCACCAGCCCCAAAATAGGATTGTTTTCTCTCACTCTTGGAAATCTGAAACTTATTTCTACTGGATATTTCCATTACGAGAGGAGCTTTTTTCTTTCTTTTTTTTTTTTAAACTACAGTGGTCTGAAGACTGGACTGTGAGCTTAGTATGACTTTTAAACCCATGAGTCTTCATTTTAAATTTCTAAAACTACGGAAAAAATAATAGACTATTGAACCCATTACAGGGTTCTCCTATTGTTGACATTTTCCCACTTTTATTTGTTTTATAATTCTTGTCATCTGTGCAGTAATAATTTGAATTTATATCAGTGTCCTATAGTTTCTAGCATCCTTTGATGAATCTTTACCTGAATCAGTTACTCAGTAGATAACTGAAAACAATTTTTTCTAATTCTATTATTCCTTTCTCATTTTTTAAATAATATTTATTTATTTGCAGTTCAGTTCCCGAGAGAGAGAGCTCTTCCATCTGCTAGTTCTCTTCCCAAATGGCTCCAACTCAGGGCTAGGCTAAAGCAAAGCCAGGGGTCAGGAACTCCATCCGGGTCCAAGTATTTGAACCATCTTCTCTTGCCATTCCAGGAATATTAGCAGGGAACTGGACTGAGGCAAAGCAGCTGGGACTGGAACCAGCACTCCAATGGGATGCCAAGTTGCCAGGGGCGGCCTAACACTCTGTATCACAATATTGGCCCTTCCTTTTTCATTTATTAACTGTAATCCATTCACTTCATAATATAATATGTAATGGTTACAGTTATTCACGTTTGTGTCAATAAAGTGAACGTCTGTGTGCCACTGTGATCACATCTAGTTACTGTCTCAATGGAATCAGGAGGAAAATGATTTTCTGGATCATTAGTGTAGTTTTGCATATTAATAGTTCCGCACAATTTCTTCTTGAAAACTAACACATTTTGTTACTAATTAGAGTGAAATAAACCATTTAGTTTGTCTTTTTCCTGAGTGTTTTCTTTCTCTTCTGTCTTATTTGAGGTACCCAATAGCTTGTATTAACTTCTAAGTTGTTATTTATGTGACTCTAACATGTTAATTTACTATTTTAATAGCTGTGGAAATACAAAGGAGCCTGAATCAACTTGGAACACCTCAAGATTCTGCTGAATTGAGGCAACAGCTGTAAGTATTTAAACAACAGAGAAGGAAACCAACTTGTTGCTATCAAAATGTTGCTTTGAGAGTGTGTAGTGTTACCTTCCCTGGAGAAGACACTGGAAGGCTAACTTTCCTGCTGTTTTATCCAGACATTTAGGCAATTGTGATAAGGAAAATGTAGAACCAGTTTATAAACATACAAGTAGCTTTACAAAAAGTGGAAACTGTTAAGGGTTCAGTGGAGTAGCAGATTTATAGCTTCAGGAAATGTATCCATTCTTTGGCTGTAATGCATATTTTCTCACTTTAGGCAACAGAAGCAGCAGTATACTAACCAACTTGCCAAAGAAACTGATAAGTACATTAAAGAATTTGGATCGCTGCCTACCACTCCCAGTGAACAGGTATCAAGTTTTAAGACCCATGTTGATATGTGAAAGAAATCAAATGCGTTGTGGGATCTTTGAACTGTTAATGCTAGAGAGGAAATTAAGGGACAAAAAATTCTATTTGAGATTAGTTCACAGAACACAAAACTATATTTAATTGCTCAGGTAGTATCCTGTGGTTCAATAAAGCAAAAATTATTTCCATGCATTTGCCCTGGCCCATAATTAAGTCAGTACTCAGAAAATGCTTCCTGAATAATTGTTTCCTGGCCTTCCAGGACTGACTCCATGTAGCACACATAGTCAAGATGTGAGGTTGCTAGGGGCACGTAGTTTCTTCCTTACTTACTCAGTGCAAGTTAATCTCAAAATCCTGACCCAGTCTTTAGCGGGATGAAAACTTAAAGTGAGAAATCCAGCAGAATGCGCCGTCAGCCTCAAAGCAGGTAAGAGTGCGCAGAGCTTGAACATACTGTAAAAAAGTGACCTGGAGTGGTCAGGAAGGCCCTGTCATTGGAGAGTGAGTGACAGTTTCAGGATTGAGTGTGAGACAACTGTCTGAAGTTCTGTTGACCTTCAGGGCTTGATTCTAGCAGGCTCTCCCTCCTTTCCTGTAGCGTCAACGGAAAATACAGAAGGATCGCTTAGTGGCTGAATTCACGACATCACTGACAAACTTTCAGAAGGTCCAGAGGCAAGCTGCTGAAAGAGAGAAAGAGTTTGTTGCTCGCGTAAGAGCCAGTTCCAGAGTGTCTGTAAGTATTTTAAAAGGCATTGTAAAAGCGAGCCGGACAAGAGCTCCGCAGAAGTCTACCTTAGTGTGATTATACAGATAATGAGAATACCTGTCATGGAAATCAACAGCTGAATATTTATTTTATGGCTTTTCTGCTCAATTTTTAGCAGGGAGATGGTTTTGTATAACTTCTTGTTTTGTCCATGTCGTAGAACAAAGGATGATAGATTATATAAAAATATTGCAACAATTTCTCCAAAAAGATTAGGTATCAGGTCAGGATATTGAGTAAGTAGTATTCTCATACTGACTTGGTACTAAGGCTTTCCATTTGTGCATGTGCTGGTGTAGACAGCACTTTACTCCTGGCTTATACAGGGGTGATGGAGAGGAGCAGAGTGAATATTTCCTAAGAATATCAAAAATGAATATAAACCTGGGAAAAATAAATGAAAAAGATGACTTTCAAGTGGAATTTTGAGTTAAACTAATTTTCATTTCCCTCAAAAACTACACAAGTTGTTTCTTTTTCTTTAATGCAGAAATTCCTACACTACCTTAAATCTTAACCAAATAATATTTATTATTTGGCCCTTGAGAATATTCAATGAATTCCTTCTTGTTAGCCTAGGATTACTTGAAGCAGTTGACCTAAAAATATTAGAATAAGAACTTATTTTTCTACACAGACATGAACACACAAAATTCAGTTTAGATTATTAGGGAAAATGTGTTTTTTGTTTTTGTGTTCTTGATTTCTTTGCCTATTCTCAAGCCATCTTGTTACTGAATTATTCAGGGTGGTTTTCCTGAGGACAGCTCAAAAGAAAGGAATCTTGTATCCTGGGAAAGGTAAGAAATGCAAACATTGTGTATATTGAAAGATAATTTTACAAAGTTATACATTATAGTTCCTGGAACAATATTAAGTATATATTCAGTGTGCTATGTCATAAATATCCTAAATTATTCATACATTGAAAACAGATAAAAAATTTGAGAAATTTTCAAAATAATTAATTTTTTACAAACACATATTGACTTTTTTTTATATCGATCTATTTGAGAGACATAGAGTGTCCCCATTGACTGGTTCTATCCCCAAATGCCTGCACGGAGCCAGGAACTCAATCCCAATCCAGGTCTCCTATGTAGGTGACAGAAATTTAGCAACTTGTATCATCATTTGTTGTCTCCCTTGGCTGGAAGCTGGAATCAGTAGCTAGAGCTGGAAGTAGAACTCAGGCACTCTGATATGAGATGCAGATGTCTTAACTGGCATCTTAACCACTAGGCCAAATGCCAACCCCAGATTAACTTTTGACCAGATTATTTCTGTATGGGAACGCTAAGTCAACCAAAAATCCCAGTTGCCAAAATACAGCGTTCAATAATTAATTGCTCTTAACCCATATATGATAATACTAATGGAATGAAAATGAATAGACTTTGATTACTGTATCTGTTATATTTTTAGAGAACTTAAGTGAGCGATTATCTGACTTTGAAGAATAAAGTATTCTGGTTAGTATTTCTGAAATAGGAATTAAGTCCCATTGTCTTAAATACTAGTCTTTCCCCTTTCCACTTTATCTTCTTTTTATCAGCCAAACCCAGCCTCAAGTGCAGGTGCAGGATGAGGAAATCACAGAGGATGATCTCCGCCTTATTCATGAGAGAGAGTCTTCTATCAGGCAACTTGAAGTAAGCCTTGCATTGTAGAGTTGGGCTGCTCCTCTGCTCTTTGTGAGTTTGTTCTCTAGATTCTGGGATAACTCTGGGAGAGGGATCAAGAGAGAAAACCAAACAAATGTATCAGTTTGGTGGCATTTCTAGTAATTAGAATAATAATTTTTTTTAAAGAAAGTCTCTTAGTATTTGTGCTGAGATGAGCTATCCCAATATTTTTTTAATTCTGTTATATAAAAGTCACCTTAGTACTGAGAGTGTCAGTCTGTTCAGAGAACCTGGATGGCCTCCCGTGGAACACGGTACACCTCACACCAGAATGTGTAAGACTTTTTCCAGTGTCTTTAAAAGCATCTTGTTTCTCTTCAGTGTGTTTGATACCAAAGAGACCAAAGAGATTCAGGTCATATTTCTTGTGAACCTGCCTCATTCCTAGAAGGTGGGCTAAGAACAACTACAATGGCTGCAATTTGTTGAGGATCTTCCATATGCCAAACAGGATGTGATAAATTCTTTTTGTTAATCATCTCATTTACTCCTCATAAAAACTAAAAACGTTCATGGAAAACGGAATAAAAATATGTTTATTTTGATACAAAAAATTTTGAAATCCATGGGTAGTTTTTTCATTATGTGTATTTTCCATGAACTTTTTGAAATGAGTGCTGCTGTAGTTCACTGTGTCACTACCATTGTCATTTTACAGATGGGGAGACTAAGGCACATGATGAATATGTGACTTTTCCCACCCAACTGAGCAAAATATTAATAAAATTTTAACTTCCTTGTCGAATAGTAAAATTTGTAACTTCACCAACCTGTTGTGTATTCAAAAAATTTTTTTTTCTATTTGAAGGAGAAAGAGAGCACAAGAGTTGTAGCCAGGAGCCTACAGCTCCATCTGGGTCTCTTGCATGGGTGGCACTCGTCCAAGTCTTGGGCCATTTTTCCCTGCCTTCCCAAGCACATTAGCAAAGAGCTGGATCATAAGTGGAGCACCTGGGATTCGAACCAGTCCTCCAATATTCCAGTATTGTAGGCAGTAGCTTAGCTTGTTGCACCACAGTGCCACCCTTCCACACCCCAGGCATATTCGGCTATTTAATGTGAGACTTTGTGTTTATACTTAGCATTTTATTATTTTAAATTCTCAAACTGATGTGCAATTTTTTGCTAGAAGGCTGTTGTAAGACTGTTTTATGCTCTTCTAAGCAGATATGCTTGTGATAAAATTATGAGGTTGTAGGAAATCAGCTCTGTATCCCATGGCTCCTCTCTGGAAGAGATCTTTCATTTCCATCCTGCCTCACCTGACATATTTTTTTATTTATTTATTTATTTTAGAGAACTGGTGACTCTTGTTCAAAGTCTGTTTATTTAGGACTGCATAGTAAAGTAGTTTCCTGACATTTCCACAATTTATGTATTAAAGCTAGAGGCATGCTCACTTACTTGTTAGTGTTGGTTTGGATCTTTTTTTAACTTTCCCCTTTCGTGGAATAAGGACTGAATTTCTGATAGTTCAATGTGCCTTTTTCTCTTAGGCTGATATTATGGATATTAATGAAATATTTAAAGACTTGGGAATGATGATTCATGAACAAGGAGATGTGATAGGTAAGTCCTACTGATTTACATTTCACAGAGTAGAAATGTGCCAGCTACTTGTGGCAACTTTCTCAAGCACTAGTAACTGCTTCTTTTCCCTCTCTTTTCAATTCTCCTGGAATCAAAAGCCTAGTCTCTCCTGTAGCACAGTATCACCCTTGGCATGATCTAAACCAGACCTTGGATTTGGCTCCTCGTGTTTGAAATGACCAGCTTCCTTTATTTCAGAAGCCCCAAATTTAATCAGGGCCCAGCATTGTGGAGACCTTGGAAGGCACCATGTAACATCATTCCAGCTTCTTTCCAGAGCCTCTGGTTGCAGTTTTATCCCAATTTAGTTGTCATAACACCAGAATTTTGGAGAAACCTGCAGTGTTTGTAGTTGCATGCTGCCTTGTATTTTAGTTTCTAAGGAATGCTTATCCATTTGATCTTTCATTCTAATAGATTTTTGGTAAATTAGTTTAGTAATATTACTTAGATGCTAGGAATGATTTTTAAAATTATTTTTTAAAAAGAATCACTAAAAAATCTCTTAAGTTTTTAATGTAGTAGTTTTTCAATTAAGGTGTAATTGCATTGGTCAGGATCTTAGTCATTTTATCACTCTGAAATTAGCAGATACATCTGTGGGTATATCTAACACAGACAGTGATTTCTGAGTTTGGTTTAATTGAAATACTTGCACTGTTATTTTAACACAATTACTATTTGTACATTCTTATTATCCTCTGTGGCCCCAGTAAATCACAAGGTAAAATTCCGAAGTTCAATTTATTCATTCATCCAACAAATGTTTATTAAGTACTGTATGTCTGAGCGTTGAGGATTCAGTCAAAATTACAAAGCAGATAAAGGGCACTGCCTTCATGGATCTTATAATTGAGGAAACAGGGAGACAATTTTAAAAATAAAAAAAGTGGCAAATAAATGTTTTGTAAGTACCATGGGGAGAGCAAGACCAGGGTGGGCAATGGGATTACTGGGAGTGGAGGAGCTGCTGCTTTATGTAGGCTAGCCAGGAAATGATTGAGGGTGACAGATTAGTGAAGTATTCAGAGAGGCAAGGGGGAAAGAAAGAGAAAGTATTCCAAGAGGTTTGCAAGAGTGCCTAAAGCAAGGAGCAAGTAGAGATCATGCTTTAGGTTGAAGAGGATAGCATCATGCAGGAGCCTGAGCCAGTGTGAAGACTGTGGTTATTAATCATGAATGGGAAGCCATAGGAGGATGTGAGCAGAGGACTACTGTGGCCCAGCTTGGGTTGCCCTGGCTACTGGCTTGAGAATACACATTAGAGTGGCAAGACCTAAAGCAAGGAGACCAGTTAAATAGCTATTGTAGTAATCCAGGTAAGCATTCATGTTGACTTGGGTCAGGATAGAAGCAGAAAAGTGGTAAAGGAATTCTGGATATTTTAAAAAAGGTAGGGCCAAAAAAGGTTTACTGACGGGCTGGGTATAGGTGAGAGAGAGAGAAAATGAGAGAGAGAGAGAGAGAGAGAGAGAGAGAAAGAGAGAGAGATCAAGAATCACTGTAAGGTTTTTTTTTTTTTTCATTTTCAATTCTCTTTATATACAGAAGATCAGTTTAGCATATATTAAGTAAAGATTTCAACAGTTTGCACCCACATAAAACACAAAGTGAAAAATACTGTTTGAGTACTAGTTATGGCATTAAATCACAATGTACAGCACATTAAGGACAGAGATCCTACATGAGGAGTAAGTGCACAGTGACTGCTATTGTTGACTTAACAAATTGACACTCTTGTTTATGGCTTCAGTAATCACCCTAGGCTCTTGTCATGAGTTGCCAAGCCTATGGAAGCCTTTTGAGTTCACCGACTCAGATCATATTTAGACAAGGTCATAGTCAAAGTGGAAGTTCTCCTCTCCTCCCTTCAGAGAAAGGTACCTCCTTCTTTGATGACCTGTTCTTTCCACTGTGTTCTCACTCATGGAGATCTTTCATTTAGGTTTTTAGTTTTTTTTTTTTTTTTTTTTTTTTTTTTTTTTTTTTTTTTTTGGCCAGAGTGTCTTGACTTTCCATGCCTGAAATACCCATGGGCTTTTCAGCCGGATCCGCATGCATTAAGGGCTGATTCTAGGGCCAGAGTGCTGTTTAGGACATCTGCCATTCTATGAGTCTGCTGTGTATCTCGCTTCCCATGTTGGATTGTTCTCTCCCTTTTTTATTCTATCAGTTAGTATTTGCAGACACTATTCTTGTTTATGTGATCCCTTTGGCTCTTAGTCCTATCATTATGATCAACTGTGAACAGAAATTGATCACTGGGACTAGTGAGATGGCATTGGTACATGCCACCTCGATGGGATTGAATTCGAATCCCCTGGTATGTTTCTAATTCTACCGTTTGAGGTAAGTCAGCCTGAGCATGTTCCGAATTGCACATCTCTTCCCTCTCTTATTCCCACTCTTATATTTAACAGCGATCACTTTTCAGTTAAGTTTCAGCACTTGAGAAGAATTGTGTATTGATTACAGTATTCAACCAAAAGTATTAAGTAGAACAAACAAACAAAAAATACTAAGAGGGATAACATATTAAGTTGTTCATCAACAGTCAGGGCAAGGGCTGATCAAGTCACCGTTTCTCATAGTGTTCATTTCACTTTAACAGGTTTCCTTTTTGGTGCTCGGTTAGTTGTCACCAATCAGGGAGAACATATGATATTTGTCCCTTTGCGACTGGCTTATTTCACTCAGCATAATGTTTTCCAAATTCCTAACAGGGATCACTTTTCAGTAAAAATTTAAACACCTAAGAATAATTGTGTGTTAATTACAGAGTTCAACCAATAGTACTAGAGCAAAAAAAAAATACTAAAATGGATAAAGTATTACATTGTACATCAACTGATCAAGTCAGTTTCTCATAGTGTCCATTTCACTTCAACAAGTTTCCCCTTTGGTGCTCAGTTAGTCGTCACCATTCAGGGAGAACATATGATATTTATCTCTTTGGGACTGGCTTAATTCACTCAGCATAATGTTTTCCAGATTCCTCCATCTTGTTGCAAATGACCGGGTTTCATTGTTTTTGACTGCTGTATAGTATTCTTTAGAGTACATGTCCCATAATTTCTTTATCCAGTCTACTGTTGGTGGGCATTTGGGTTGGTTCCAGGTCTTAGCTATTGTGAATTGAGCTGAAATAAACATTAATGTACAGACAACTTTTTTGTTTGCCAATTTCATTTCCTTTGGGTAAATTCCAAGTAGTGGGATGGCTGGGTTGAATGGTAGGGCTATATTCAGGTTTCTGAGGAATCTCCAGACTGACTTCCATAGTGGCTTAACCAGTTTGCATTCCCACCAACAGTGGGTTAGTGTCCCTTTTTCCCCACATCCTCTCCAGCATCTGTTGTTGGTAGATTTCTGAATGTGAGGCATTCTAACTGGGGTGAGGTGAAACCTCATTGTGGTTTTGATTTGCATTTCCCTGATTGCTAGTGATCTTGAACATTTTTTCATGTGTCTGTTGGCCATTTGGATTTCCTCTTTTGAAAAATGTCTATTGAGGTCCTTGGCCCATCTCTTAAGTGGGTTGTTTGTTTTGATGTTGTGGAGTTTATTGGTCTTTGTAGATTCTGGTGATCAACCCTTTATCTGTTGCATACTTTGCAAATATTTTTTTCCCATTCTGTCGTTTGCCTCTTCACTTTCCTGACTGCTTCTTTTAAAGTAAAGAAACTTCTCAATTTGATGCAATCCCAAATGTTAATTTTGGCTTTGACTGCCTGTGCTTCTGGGATATTTTCCAAGAAGTCTTTGCCAGTACCTATATCTTGCAGGGTATTTCCAATACTCTCTAATAATCTGATGGTGTCGGGTCATAGATTTAAGTCTTTAATCCATGTTGAGTGAATTTTTGTGTAAGGTGAAAGGTAGGGGTCTTGATTCATGATTCTGCACGTGGAAATCCAATTTTCCCAGCACCATTTATTGAATAGACTGTCCTTGCTCCAGGAATTGGTTTTGGATCCTTGATCAAATATGTTATCTGTAGATGTTTGGATTGATTTCTGGTGTTTCTATTCTGTTCCATTGATCTATCCATCTGTTTCTGTACCAGTAGCATGTTGTTTTGATTACAACTGCCCTGTAGTATGTCCTGAAATCTGGTATTGTGATGCCTCCGGCTTTGTTTTTGTTGTACAAGATTGCTTTAGCTATTCGAGGTCTCCTGCATCTCTATATGAATTTCAGCATCATTTTTTCCAGATCTGAGAAGAAGGTCTTCAGTATCTTGATTGATATTGCATTGAATGTATAAATTGCTTTTGAGAAAATGGACATTTTGATGATATTGATTCTTCCAATCCATGAGCATGGAAGATTTTTCCATTTTTTGGTATCCTCTCCTATTTCTTTCTTTAAGGTTTTGTAATTTTCATTGTAGAGATCTTTAACGTCTTTGGTTAGGTTTATTCCAAGGTATTTGATTGTTTTTGTAGCTATTGTGAATGGGATAGATCTTAGAAGTTCTTCCTCAGCCGTGGCATTGCCTGTGTATACAAAACCTGTTGATTTTTGTGCATTGATTTTATATCCTGCTACTTTGCCAAACTCTTCTATGAGTTCCAATAGTCTCTTAGTAGAGTTCTTTGGATCCCCTAAGTAAAGAATCATATCATCTGCAAAGAGGGATAGTTTGAGTTCTTCCTTCCCAATTTGTATCCCTTTAATTTCTTTTTCTTGCCTAATAGCTCTGGCTAGAACTTCCAGAACTATATTGAATAGCAGTGGTGAGAGTGGGCATCCCTGTCTGGTACCAGATCTCAGTGGAAATGCTTCCAACTTTTCCCCATTCAATAGGATGTTGGCCATGGGTTTTTCATAGATTGCTTTGATTGTATTGAGGAATGTTCCTTCCGTACCCAGTTTGCTTAGAGTTTTCATCATGAAAGGGTGTTGTATTTTATCAAGTGCTTTCTTGGTGTCTATTGAGATAATCATATGGTTTTTCTTCTGCAGTCTGTTAATGT